CCTCCGTTCCTGGCAACCGGGCACTTGCGGCACCTGTGTGGCACAGGGCCACTGGGAGGAGGCGGCTGTTTTCCGTTCTTCTTCTTCTTCTATTTTTTATTTTTAATGTGGAGCGCTTCGTGAGTTTACGTGTTAGCACAGGAGCAAACTTCTCCGTGCCGCTCCAGCCACGTGAGTGAGCACGGGGCTAGGTTTCTTCAAGGGCCCTGACTACCAAGAGGGAAGCGCCCCCGTGGGTCAGGTACCGCACCGGGAAAGTGGAGCCACACATTATTAACTGTTTGGTTTTATTTGAAACACTCCGGTACTGGGTAATTAAAAGCTAGCAGGCCCAAAGGTCATTGTATCTTTAATACGCTGACTTTATCGCAGTTGCCCTTCCTGAGGATTTGAAATGCCGTATCGATAAAGACATGTGTGTAGGAAGACATTTGAGAAACAGAAAAATATAAGCCAAGCAACAGTGGCTTCTCAGACGAGGAGCCGTAGCTTGGCACAAGATCTTTGAGGCCTTCCCTTCCTGTCTGCATCGCCGTCACCATACCAAGTGGGCTTCCAAGGCTGCTCTCAACGGTTTTGGCATTGTCCACCCTCCCTTTCTAAGGTCTGCCTAGCATCTGCATCGTGAATAAAACAGAAGCGCGCGCGCGGCTAATACTGACGGCCAACGTAATCGGGTTTAGAGTCCCCTAAAGAGCAGAACTCTGGGCCTGTCTAGATCAGGTCAGGCAGCTCCATACCATGGCACGGGGACCAGCCCCCGCATGCCCCCGCATGCCACGCCTCCCCCACCGTAGTAACGGACTGTCCTTTACATTGTAAGCCGTACGCAAGAAACTGTTCTTCACCTAAGTTGCTTCTTGTAGTGTGTTTGGGTACGGCAACAGGAAAAGTAGCTTATACCATAATTATAAAAGCATCCCCTGGGGCCCGAGAGATGGCTAAGCAGCTGAAAGCACTGGCTGATCTTCTGGAGACCTAGGTTTGGTTCCCGGCACCCACAGCTACCTGCAACTCCAGTCCTAGGGGGTCCCATGCCCTCGTCTGGCCCCTGTGACACGTATGCATTGTACCAATAGACATTCCGTGCAAGTAAAACACCCATATGCATACAAATAAACAATGAACTTGTTTAGAGCATTCTCATTTCATTATTAAGGACGCACCCGCGGTGTCTGGCATTGACATAGTTATCACTGCAACGTGGCTATCTGTGCTGGAAGCATCCCTTAGTAAATTGGATTGATCCATTAGTAATCGTGGGTTTCTTCTTAGAACGTCGTCTGTCTCGTGAGTCAGGTTTCAGGTCGGGGCTTGTGCAGCCCAGAGACGCCTCCGCGAACACTGACACAGTGGTGTAATGTAAGCATCTTTGTTTAATCTTTGCAAATTTGCCTGAACTCTTTCTCACTCGTGGGACTCCCTTTGAGGACAGACTGTCTAGTTTCTGATGCGCCGCTCAGAGTTACCAGCTGTGGAAGAAAAAAACCACTTCCCAGTCTTTTGAAGCAGATTTTCCTCACGCTCGGGAATCCCATGTACCTTGTCTAAACTCTGTTTTCTTCAGACCACTCCAGGACGGGCTGAACAGCTTTTCGGAGGTTACATTTTTCCAATGCTCTGGCTGTGGTTTTGGTGAGAAGTGTCACCCAGAGCACCTGTGACTCCCCGTGCGGTGGAGTCAACCACTGAGAGATGGTTGGATCCTGAGGACTCCGCCCTGATCAATGGGCTGGTCGGTGTGTTTATTGGTAGAGAGGAAAATGCGGGGCTTGGCAGGAGGAAAGTGGGCCCTTGGGGCAGCTCTTGGGGGTCTATACCTCGTCCCTGACTCTCGGTTTCCCATCTGGGCAGCTCTGCTGCTCTGTGCCCCCTTGGCCTCCTAGTCTGCCCTGCCTGTGTCAAAAGGAGTAGGGACGGCTGCCCAAGGAGCAGTGGCTCTCAACCTTCCTGACGCTGCTGTGACCCTTTAAATACAGTTCCTCGTGTCGTGGTGACCCCCCCCCAAACCATAACATTATTTTTGTGGCCGCTTCATAACTGTGATTTTGCTACTGTTGTAAACTGTAATGTAAATATCTTCGGAGCTGGAGGTCTGCCAAAGGGGTTGTGACCCACAGGTTCAGAACCTCTTCCGTGGGCCAAGGCACCTAAAGCCACAAGCCAGGAATAAGGTTTCCCTCATTTTGGGCTCCTTTTGCTATTATTTTGCCATAACAACCGAAAGCTAACATATGCAATGCCCATAATATACTTGTTCCGTGAAGTTTCCCGTCCCAACCGTTTTCAGGAATATAGCTCGGCGGCGTCAAGAACACTACTGCTGTGCAATCACCAACACACACCCTCTCTAGAACTTTCTCATCTCCTAGACTGAAGCCCCTCACCAATCAAACCTCCCCAACCCCCATCTCCAGATACTGCCTCCCAACGTCCCACTGTCTGTCTTTGAATCTGACCCTCTAGGAGCCGTGGGCGTTTGTCCTTTTTTGCTTATTTTACAGAGCACGGTGTCCTGCGTCAGTGATACCCAGCTATGCACAGGTCCGGGTTTCCCTTCTCTGTCTTCCAAGGCATGAATTCTGACTCTTTCCATCTTGGGGCTATAACGGACAGTGCTGTAGTGCCCACAGGTGTGTGTATTCTTTAGGTCTTGGCTGTCAGTTATTTTGGGCGTATGCCCACGAGCGGGATTGCTGAATCATACTTTACTTTTAGTGAGCAACCACACTCTTTCCACAGCACAGAACCATTTCATCCTGCCTCCCCCCCACCCCACCCCACCCCCGATCCCGCTGATGCGGTTTGTTTTGTGTAGGTGTGTTTGTTTGCTTTTACCGTACTGAAGATCATGCCAGGGTCTTGTATGTACGAAGTAAGTCTCTACCACAGAGCTACACACCCTAGACCTTTGGTTTCCTTTGCTTTATCTTTTTTTTTTAATAACAGGTGTAAATTGACTATGTTTAGCTTTTGACATTCTTCATAAATTACCTCATTCCACCCAAGCACTTTAAGTTTTGGGCTTTTATTTTAAAGGTCTGTGGGCGTCTGAAACACACAGATTAGCTAATGAGATTATACACGCCTGCCTCTGCCGCAAGAGAAGGGGGGGGGGGAGAATGAAGGAGACCCCGTGTACGAATGCGGGCACCCAGGACTCCAGGCCACACCCTGCCCCGTGGCCACCCGTCCGTCTTCACCAAGCCCGGCCGCACCTCTCCGCTCCACCAGCTGGCAGGCTGAATTATACAGTCACCATGACAACAGTAAATCCAGGCCAGTAGCAACAGGATGTTATGTTTGTTATGACTCCTGTCAGCCACAGCAAACACCCAGGCTCTCAGCACTTGGGCAGCCTGCCTTGCCATTTCCTAGACCTAATTGCACTAGAAAAGGGTGTCAAATACTGTCTGTTCCCATACATCAAGACCTGAATATCTATATTTACATTTAAACTGCTTTCCTTTCCCAAAGTAATGGAGAGCTATTATCTTAATAATGTGCCTATCACTGAAAGCAAGTTGGAGTTGGGGAAGACAATAAGCTGAAGGATGACTGTGGTTCCCTTCCAGACTTGCTTTCTGATGAGGGAAAGGGGACAGCTGTGTCTGTCATTTTGCTGGTGCCTTGTCTCTGGTTACAATAAACACACACACAGACATACACATGTGCACGCGCACGCACACACACACACACACACACACACACACAGAGTGTCCTTTACCATCAGACGCTTGGTGGATTCAGGCTGATAAGACATTTTTAAGATAATATACTTAATGCTTTCTCCCAAAAAAGAGCAACACAAAGTACAATCCAAGGAGTCTGGAGTCGGGCCAGCCAAGCCACATGGTTGGCAGGACCCACACCTGGCCTGGCCTGGCCCGTCGCAGTCTTCACAGAAATGTCCCCTCCACCCCCAGAAAGCAAACACGGCGCAGGGCTGGGGACAGTTGGCATCCTGCTCTCCGTCCTTCCCAGGGCCGGCGCTGTCCTTCCCCGCTGGCTCTTGCTGCCAGCTCAGATACACATGACAGTTCTCCACACCCTGAGATCCCTGATGCAGGCCACAGGGCTGGTCGTTTGCATGGCCCACGAGCGCTGGGCTCAGTGTTGCAGCACAGACAAAACTTGGCTCCTGCACTCAAGGAAGGGCTTGCCCTGGACCTGTCCCCAAGGCTGGTGCCTTCTCTGCAAATCCGGCAGCCTGTAGGCACCTGTGGCTATGCAGGGCCACAGGAGGAGGGTACCTGTGCCAGCTCAGAATTAACAGCAGCAGGAACACTTCTCCCCACTTATCAGCTAAAGGGGGAGATGGGCAGTGAGCTAAGAAGAAAGACACTGTGTGCCCCGCCAGCCAGCCTTGGGTGCCTGAGGACCACGCGTACCCACCAGCCTCACTCTGCGGCACACAACTGTGACCGTCCGGCATCGTGCCCACCCGTCCTTTAAGTTCAAACAGCGAACTTCCCAGGACTGGCCACCCAGCCAACAAGACACAGAGCAGTTTTCTTCATCTGAGAAGCCCTTGCTCCCCCTCACCCCCCCACTCCTTGACAGCCCAACCCTTCCAGGAGCTGGTTCTAGGAAGGATTTCCCGTGAGACCGGCCGGAAGACAGGAACACAGAACGTGTGTAGGCACCACCCGCAGGCTGGGTGTGGGGCGGGGACAGCTAGGGCTATCGTGGAGGACTGCGGGTACTCTAGATCACATTCAGCCTCTCCTCTGTACGCCAGAGTCCGTCGTCAACCATGCTCCTGCCTCCTGCTGCAGGGAACGGCCCTAAACACGAGGACTGGGGCTGACGGCTCCGAGACACGCGCCTGCGTGTGAGAGCCCTCTCCGTCCACGGCGTCCGAGGACAGACGGCGCTGCTGCCCTCTTCAGAACACACAGCCTCCCCCCCCCCCAGGGACTGGAGGCCACCCTCCTACTCGACGGCAGAAGAAACAGAGCCGGAGTTTCGGCGGTGCCCCGTGCAGGGCCCACACTCACCGTTCACACAGGCCTCCGACGATCCACACAGGCCGTCCTCAGACAAGCAGCCTAGACGAGAGAGATGGAAGAGGGGTCAGTGGCGGAGAAACAGAGGGCCCTTGAGGCTTTCCAGACCCGCCCACCCACGCAGACCCCCTTCTTCGTGACGGTGCTGGGTTGTTCTGAAGCCATCAGAACAGACCCCGGCATGATCTGGCCAAGCTCTTCAGCAGGAGGGTGCCTGGCACGTCCTGTGCCCTCAAGACCGCTTCAGAGAGGGCGCACATCCTTGGCGTGGTCGTCTACGATGACGCACCCCGCCCCTAGCCTCGCAGCATTGCCCGGCTGCCCACCCCGGGGGAGTCCCAGGGGCTTGAGGATGAGCTCACAGTCAGTAGCATCATGGGGGCAGCAGTGGACCAGACCTCTGGGCCTAATACAGCTGTGCTCATGGGAAGGGACTCTGCCACCTGCCCCCGATGGTTCTAGGGAGACCGGCTGTTGCTACAGGGAGGCGCCTGCAGTGTCAGTGACCACCATGGACGGTGACAGATGGGGAGAGGACAGGTAGGTGGAGGGCAACAGAGGTTATGAACAGGGGCAGAAGAAGGGGTGGTTGGCACTCAGAAGGGACCTCCACCTAAAGGGAGCACACGAAGGTGACTAGCCTCTCCTCCCTGTAGCTGAAAGGGACCTTGACGGCCTCTCATGAAACAGTGAGTTAGGCAGCTGGGTGCAGCCCGTACAGCGTGTCAAGCCACCCTGAACACAGAGGAGGGTTGGGGTCATCTGGGCCTGATGACCCCATCTAGGCAGGGTCGGGGGGTGGGGCACGAGAAAGGCTTCTGTCTATACTCTGATGACCCCCGCTTAGGGATGCAACACTATCTTCACTCCTGTGCCTGTGCGGTGCTAGGAGCCCACAAGAGCGGAGTCTGCTCTGAGAGTACGTGTCTTCCAACGGCAAAGCCCTACGCCCTTCACGACTGTTTCTCCAAATGAGCAAACTCCTACGCACCTGCCGAGGCCCACTCAAAAGTCCCCCCACCCCATGGAGTCGTCCTCCACACGGCTCACTGGCTAGTGAGTTCTGTCCAGCCACCAAATGGGGCCTGCCGCAGTGTGCAGTGAGCGTAAAGAATGCATCGCCCTCTCAGGAATGAGGATTCTGGGGATCTTCTTTGCATCTTCTGCCCATTCCCCTTCAGTGGCTACCATTGTGTCTAAGTCGGTGACTGAGCACAAGGCAACTGCAAACTGACACAAAACTATTAGTTAAAAAAAAATTAACTGAGCCACTAGCTCACAAAAATTGGTACAAATAGTTATAGCTGCAGCAACCAATGGCATTGCAGGCACAGGTAGACCAAGACACGAAACCAGGCTTGCTCCACACAAAGGAGACACGGCTCTGGAATTCGCGTGAGTCAGTGGCCCCGCCCATCCTTGTGATGGCATGCCAGGGGAGAGAGCCATGGCTGGTGGGTCCTTTGCTTAGGTGACCTGTCTTGAGGGGACTCTGGGTCACACCCAGGTGAGCTGTCTCCACACAGTCACTGATGATGGGGGATGTCCTTCTGTATGCTGTGGATATATGTGTCTCTTATTGGCTGACGAATAAATGCTGGTTGGCCAGTAGGCATGTAGCTGCTGAGGAAGCAGGCTGTCCGGGCACCACCGGTGCAAGGACACCTTAAGCTGGAAGACGGTCTGGAGTAGTTGTGTGCACTGCTCCAGGCCCTGGCTCCAGCAGTGGACACACGGCACTGTCCCACGTCCTGGCCATGGACACACGGCACTGTCCCATACCCTGGCCATGGCAGCGGACACACGGCACTGTCCCATGCCCTAGCCGTGGCCACACAGAACTGTCCCACGCCCTGGCCATGGACACACGGCACTGTCCCATACCCTGGCCATGGCAGCGGACACACGGCACTGTCCCATGCCCTAGCCGTGGCCACACAGAACTGTCCCACGCCCTGGCCATGGACACACGGCACTGTCCCATACCCTGGCCATGGCAGCAGACACACAGAACTGTCCCACGCCCTGGCCGTGGACACACAGCACTGCCCCACGCCCTGGCCGTGGACACACAGCACTGTCCCACGCCCTGGCTGTGGCCGTGGACACACAGCACTGTCCCACGCCCTGGCCGTGGCCGTGGACACACAGAACTGTCCCACGCCCTGGCCGTGGCCGTGGACACACAGCACTGTCCCACGCCCTGGCCGTGGCCGTGGACACACAGCACTGCCCCACGCCCTGGCCGTGGACACACAGAACTGTCCCACGCCCTGGCCGTGGCCGTGGACAAACAGCACTGTCCCACGCCCTGGCCGTGGCCGTGGACACACAGCACTGCCCCACGCCCTGGCCGTGGCCGTGGATATACAACTCTGGTGAGCAGCATTACAGTCCTCAGCAAGCGCCTACAGGAAGACCTAGACAAAGGCAGGGTTGCAGGCACAAGTGCAGACACACGGCTCAGCTGAGGGCGGAGTTCTGTGTTTGTCACGTGAGATGGCAGATGCCAGAACTCTCTAGAAAAAGGCATAGGCTTCCTGTGCCTGCCTGAATCACACAGACAATTAGAACTGATGGAACAAAATGTGCATTGTGTGTCCCTGTAAGCTCCAGCTACAGCAAGGCAGCCTGGCTCAGGCATCTGCCCAGCTTGAGTCATTGCAGGAACCTTGCCCCTCATTCAGAAAGAGTTCCTGTGAGGCATTCCCAGAGGTGCCGTGGGCACTTGTCTCAGGCCAAGAGTCATTGTGTGCTAATTGGCTGCTAATTCGTGTGCATTGTTACGTGCCCTGAAATCAATGAAGATATATTTCATTGTAAATGTCAGATGCCTAGTAACATTGATTGTTATGGTAAGTCACCCAGAGGAAAGGAGCGTCACAGCAGGGCCTGGGGTCCCGCCCTGGAGTGTAAGACTTAGCTCCTCCAGGGTGCTCCACCCAGCCTTGTCCAGGCACACTGTGGCCAGAGGCAGATCCTCAGAGATGAACACAGCTCACCAGTCAGCAGCTCACCCTACACCTAAAGCCAAACATCGGCCTGAGGCAAGTGGCTGATCCACAGAGAACACCCGCACGAGTCATCTTCACAATGCGGTAGCCTGCATTTGAAACTGCACTTCCACCCTTAGGCATATACCAAAAGATGGACACTCATACAACAAGGATGTCTGTTCCACTATATTCATAGCAGCATTATTTGTAATAGCCAGAACCTGGAAGCAACCTAGATGCCCCACAACTGAAGAGTGGATAGAGAAAATGTGGTATATTTACACAATGGAGTACTACTCAGCAGAAAAGAAAATAGAATCTTGAAATTTGCAGGCAAAGGGATGGCACTAGAAGAAACCAACCTGAGTGAGGTAACCCAGTCACAAAAAGACAAACATGATATGTACTCACTCATATATGGATTTTAGGCATGGAGCAGGGGGTTGCCAGCCTACAATCCCACCGCCAGAGAATCTGGGAAGCAGGGAGGACCCTAAGAGAGATATGCATGGTAACCCGGAGAAGGGTTATGGGAGGAGATCTCCTAATTGGATTGGGAGCAGGGGGAGGGGAGGGGAGGGGAGAGGGAGATGGGAGAAAGAGAGGGGGAGAAGAGGAGGGGAGAGGAGGTCATGGGAGAGCAGGAAGAGAGAGGAGAGAAGGATGAAAGATACCATAATAGAGGGAGTCATTATAAGTTGGAGGAGAGATCTGGCACTAGTGAGATCTTCACAGATCTATAAGAATGACACCAACTGGCATTAAGGCTACCTTAAATGCCCTCCCCTGATAACGAGATTGATGACTACCTTATATGTCATCCTAGAACCCTCATCCAGTGGCTGACAGGAGCAGAGGCAAACACCCACAGCTAAAAACGAACTGAACTCCTGGAATCCAGTTGCAAAGAGGAGTGATGAGCGAAGGAATCAAGATCAGGCTGGCGAAACCCACAGAGGCGGCTGACCTACACAAGGGGGAATGCATGGACCCCAGACTGATGACTGAGGGGCCAGCATGGGACTGATCCAGACCCCCAGACCCCTTCCCAACCTGGGTGACAGAGAGGAGGCCTCGGCAATCTGTGGGACCTTGGAGAGCAGAACAGTATTTATTCCTGGCATACAAACAGACTCTGGGAGCCCATTCCACATGGAGGGATGCTCTCTCAGCCTGGACACATGGGGGAGGACCTAGGCCCTGCTGGGGATGATATGACAGACTCTGAAAATCCCTCATGGAAGCCCTTAGCCTCCCTGGGGAGTGGAGGGGCGGTGGGGTGGGGTGGGGGGTTGGGAGGATTGGGGGGGCCGGGGGAGGAGGGGAGGGAGAGGGAACTGAGAGTAACATGTATAGAAAGTTAAATAATTTTTTTTAATTATATATATAAAAAGAAAGAAACTGCAGTTCCTTGGGCTAGGGATGTGGCTCGATGGTGGCACCGGAAGCATCAGGCCCTGGATCCTATCCCCAGCACTGAAAAAAAATAAGACACCTGCAGTCCCTTAGTATCAACTACTGTCCACTCTTCCATGATGTACGTGACATTTCAAGCCTTCTCGGCGGCTCCTTCGGCTGAACGCCCCAGAGCAGGGCAGGGAGATCGGAGAACTCTTCCCACTTGTGCCCACTAGGCTCCCCGCACCCCGGCGCACGCCGAATACATGTGCACATGTACACGCACACACTCACGTGGGCGCACGCGTGTGGGTGCTCTCCTGTGCATACGGGTGCGCAGCCACAGGCACGCTCACGTATGTGTGTACACACGCACAGTCAGATGGGCGGCGAGAGTCTGCGTGGACACTCGCCCACGGGTATCCACATACACATGTGTGCGCTCACCCTGCTAGATGCAGAGTCCCCTGCGTGTGCACGTACATGAGCATCTGCCCATGCACACATACATGGAGACACAATTATGTTCGCACACACCTAGACGCAGGAACTCATACATGCGTATATGCACACATTTTGCTCAGATGCACACGTGTGCCTGTGGGCATGGCACACACACGTGCACACAAACATGCACACACATACATG